TTACTACCATTTCCATCTTCATATTTAGCTGAATGGGGCTTTAGTGCTGTAAATGATTTGTTATTGAAGAAAAGAAATCGACTGGATATCACTAAACGTGGAGACTTGAGGCTTAAGCTCACTAAATTGGTGCTTAATATAAAATCTATCTGTATCAGGCATGATGAACAAGGATCATTTTGTCATTTTGTGTTCAGTCATTTTGTGTTCAGCTCCAGTTTCATTTTGCGTTATTATTTCAAGATTAAAATGATCAAAAGTATATTACAGAATAAGATTTGATTCATATATTTATGCTTTTCAGTTCTCTATTATGTTTCGAAACTATATATATTTAACAGTCTTTTTGTTTTTTTTAATTTTTCTCATTCATGGACACTATGGTCATTGAAGGTTTGTTTAGAGACCAAGTCAATGGCCTTTTAAGCTTCTTCCACGGGAATTGCAGTAACATTTTGAATATGTAAGAATTAAATATTAGAGGTGTCACCAGATTTTTAGAAATATCAAAGTGGGTCATTGCCCAAAATCGGGTGGGATCAACTTCTATTTAATCACTAAGAAAAACTTTTATTAAACCAATTTCAACCACATTTAAAAGATTTTATCAAGCTGAATTTCTGATTCTAAGTAAAAGTACTATTCACATTTCTACGATACTTAAAATATCCTTGTTGCTCGTATGTTCTGTCCATATTATTCTCAGCATCCTTCTGTAGAACCACATCTCAGATACATTATCTGAGATACATTGTCCGGCTTTTACAATATAGGAGGAATAATAACGCAAAGCAGTTCAACGCCGTTTCCTTTTTTGTAATAAATTTTTCGAGTCTCTTAGTAAATTATAAATACTTTGGAAAGCATCTTTCCTCATTCTAATATGCCTTCGAATTTTCGTGTTAGATTTTCCTCTGTTTATTATAACATTTCCGAAAAAGTCAAATTCCTGTACTTGGTTCATTCTGACAACTACCATTCGTCGCTCGCAACCTGGTCTATCCCTCAATCTCACAACAATATACTTTGTTTTCTTACAATTGACCGTCAGTCCTTTCTTCTCAGTTTACTAGTTAGAATGTCTTAGTGTTAGTGATGTTTTCTTTCTGTTGATCGTCAACACAATATCTCATTTTACTATTCGTGCCACTCATTTAGATTGTGCCCCTGATCATATTTTACTTACCCGAATCGACTGACCCCTGAAGAATGCGGGAGGGCACGGTAGTCGAAATGCTGGGGAGAATTGGGATAAAGATAAGGACATTACTCATAAAGATTATGGCCAGTAAACTCTGGCCGTGTTCACAATGTTGGACCCTATTTTGGAGTTGAGAATGGGCCTACTTTTCAGCAATGTTTAAATTACCTAAAATAGTTCTTACACTATATATCTATCTATCTACTATCTATATTTCTCATGTTGTCTGTCTGTGTGCCTGTCGTGGGCGTTGTTACCTCGCCCAGGCCGCATATCTCACCCGATTTCGATGCGGTTTTCACCACAAGTTTGCAAATGTCTGCCTTAAGGACATGAAGCAGCCCGATTTTTCAGTTCGGGCTCAGGTTGCGAAAAAATTGATAATCGACAAAATCTGCTTACAGGAGGAATTATTGCATTTCAACCAAATTTGACACCCTCTTAGAGTCTACCTTTAGAAGTGTTGTCCAGAAGTTTCATGACCACGGACCCCTAAACAGCGCGGAAA